GTGATGCATTGAGGTTAGAGGTTTTGTTTATGTCTGTCTGCGGGGGTAGTTACCAAACATAATAAGATCAGCAACTCCCCATCAACTGACAAAAATGAGCAAGGGTTTGTCAGTTTGTGTGCTGGTGCTTATTAGAGCTGTCAGCAGGGGAGATTTGTGCATGTTTGTGTGTAGTGCTGAGGGGAATGGGGTCAAAAATCACCGTTAGGTCTGTAGCTTAAAGTCACATCTGCAGGAAGTACAAAACGCACCTTTTAACAACACTTAACTCTAACACGTGACAGATGACCTTGGCAAATGGGGCCAATGGAAAGATTAAGTCAATTACAGCTTGGCGGGGGGACTAAGACATATTTGAGACATTCCCCAGACAATTGGAACAATAGGCACTCACATAGGCGCTGTCAATCCAAGGTAGTATAGTTATTATGTCAGAGTAAATCCAACAAAATGTACTTGGTCCCCTTCCTAAAAAATAAATCTGGATAATAACATAACAATGACAACACTGAAACCCAGTCCAAGTGACAGCATTACTGCCCCCACATTTGCAGAGTCTGCAGCTTTTTCCTGAGCATCTAGTGAATGCACTCTGTTTCATCTAGATGATATTGTTGCTGACTTAGTTCCCAACTTTAGATCAAACCGGGTAGAAAGAGAACGCAATAAGCTCAGCAGAAACTGGAAACTCAAAAGGGTCAAGGAGAAAAAAATGCACAATGGAGGAATGGCAAGAATATGCAGCTGTTAAGTCCGTTACAGGCAAATACTTGGAGAGTCTGTTCATTCCACCTTTCTAGAAAATAATGTTTGTTCGTGGCTGAAGTTTCTTTAGTTTGAAAAAAATCTATTTCCTCTCAATGTGGAAGTCATTCACTACACAATGTGCCCATTTGTTATAAATAAGCATTTTTCTTCTGCTGCTGTGACAATTTGCAGATGGCACACAGTGTCTCCCATCAGGTGAATTCTCATTTCTCTTTTTTTGCGCAGTGAAAATGAGCTCAACCCGCGGGGTGGGCAAACATGTTAAGTGCCTCTCAGCTTTAAAACTCATCTGGAGAACGAAGGCCTGCGGGGTATCTGGCAGCAATCCGATTACATGATGTAACCTTTGGCCTGTAGGCGACCATATCTCCACAGGAAGCCAAAGATTTTGAGTTTTTAACAACATAAAAGTCTGAAGTCAATGACGCAGTTTTTAGTCACGGATGAATGGTTAAATGTCTGCTGATTGGCTTTTACTTCTGTCCCTAATATGAGTCAGGGTAGTTGAAATACATTAAAAAGCTGTTTTGACAGTGCCCTGGTGCCCATAAAATCGTTTTTGCACTTTCAGAAGCTTTTGGGCATCAGCATTACACATTGTACCTCTTTAAAGTATTTCTGTAAAATGGTGTCCTGACAAGAGTTCAACAACATTAAGCCATTACCATCTAAAAAAGTTCAGAGTGACTGTGTGTTACAACACTGGCTTAAATGTTTTGGCAGTTACTTTCCGCAAGTAAAACGATGCATGACAGATGCATTTCGGGACAACATGGATCTTTAGTGTCGTTAAACAACAAACAAAAGATTCTGTCGACTCATTTATTTTTCGTTTTTATCAACATACTGTATCAATAATAGATTTTAGATTTTTACCAAACTGCCAATTCATATCTACTGGTGTTGGAAACTGCCCCCAAGGGACAAAGTGTTATGAATTGTATTTCAGTTATTTCAGTTTTTGCATTAAATACTACTAAATAAGCCTTTTTTTTATTTAGAAGATGATTATGTGATTTAACTCCTGCATTGTGAAGTTAAACCTTTGATGAAAGCATTAGGTTATCCCCTGTTTCATGTGGAGGTTAATGTGGCCTGCGAGCTTAAACCCAACACTAAATTTTTTCTAGAAATTAAATGTTCTTCCTCTCCTTTCGATTGTCCTAGATTTATTTTTATCTATTTTTGTTTTCTTTGTTTTCTGCAGAGTAATTCATTTATTTTCTGTAAATAAACCTAAATAAGCATTGCTAAGTTTGTAAGCACTATGATTGCTCAGGCGATATTTCTTAATGCATGGTCGAAACACCTGGGGATTTTGTGGAGCACACATAAAGAATGTTATTAAACTTGACTGGTTCTGCCGCCTTTTTAGATCTGTAGAATCCCAAGAGTAATATAAGCTGGGGGAAGATGGATATGGCTGCTGGTTGGCTCTGCGTTGTGTCTATGGGTTACAAAATATACCTTTATAGTGGAGGACTTCAGAGTAGCTGCTGCAACCTTTCAGCCTCAATCATCAAAATGATTGTCCCTGACAAAGACATAATGAACTAAAATAGCCTTATGAGATCAGGGAGGCTGGGGTTGTAGTGTCTCCAGGGAAAACCACCAACAGAAATAGCCCTGATAAGTCCAAGGTATTGTTAGAATGGAGTCACTTTAGCAACACTGACACAAACAGTGCTGTGACATCAACATCATCTCTGATATTGACATTTTATTATCAGACAGTCCACACTTTCCAAAGTGTCATAGTCCCCCATGTATTTAAAAATGTGATGTATGCTACAAGTATGCAGAGAAATACAAATGGTTGGCTTGGCTACAGATTTCTGCAATGAACACACTGAGGGTCCAACCAGCATTACTCATCAGTTATCAGGTGGACATCATGACACTTCTCAGAGCACCTTACATGATACATATCTATTTTAACTCCCTTTACTAAATGATGCCCTGCTGCCTTTCAGTGTTTGGCCTGTCGGTGTGTTTGAGAAGAGACGGCATTAAGCGGGGAGGAATAGAAAGTTGGCCTTCCTGTTAATAACAGAGAAATCTGGATATTCTGAGATTATGGATTTATGTAACGTAAATATATTTGATTGTCTTCCATTCTTAAACTGTCATTAGAGTTATTACAAACCAGAACAAAGATGGCTTCTATTCGTAAAAGACACAAAGCAAAAACCGATGAGCTTCTGAACAAACAGCCCTGAATATGTTGTGCTTGGAAGTGAGTAAACATTCAAATGGATGAGCATCCTGAAAGCATCTACATGTATTATTGTTCTGATAAAAAGTAATAAAAGAGCTGAGCTGCAATATTTTCAGCCTAAACCTCTAACCCACAACATGTATCTTTGCACCCAATTAAAACAATTGGCACATCAGGAGTACAATTGGCATCCTCACTTCCTTTATAGACCAACAGTTCTATATTCTAAGAAGGATTGGTCACTTACAATACATTTGATATAGATGTGATTTGACAGAATATCATCAAACTTCCCTTCACCTCAAAAATAAGCCTGAAGGTTTGGGTATGATTCAATTCCCTCTCTGCCATGGCTGCTGTCAAAAAATTCTATTCATCTTCTTTTTCATTTTCTCTTGTAACTAGGAGCTGTCAAGGCCTGGGGGCTTTCCCTTACAGTTTGCTTGGCTGTATTTATAATTGGACCCTGTCAACAGTGTCCAGTGCAACTCAACTGCACAGTTTGTTTTGGCAGCTATGTGTACCCATTTCAACACATGCCGGCTGTGAGGCGGTTTATATGTCATTAATGTGCAACAATAGGTAGGTGCAGACACAATGGAGTCACCATTTATTTGTGGATGGAATGAAAAGCATCTCACAGTGATCAGAGGGGACTGAGCACAGTTGAAGTCAGCTTTTTCCAGGCAACAGGGCCTTGGGGTTGCTTCACATTGGCATAGGAGCATTGCTATGTTTGTACATCTAATATAAGGCTGTAGGGTAAATCGAACATGCATAACAGCTGTGTCTGTAGCTATGCACAAGGCATACCACTGTTGAGTTTAATGTTAATATGGAAAACATTACAAACACCATAGTGAAGCCTGCTAAGACTATATTACTTTACATGGTCAACATTTTAACCAATTTTATCTAACTTTACATGGCAAAGATAAACTCACTTTTTAACCTCCCATGCTGTGCTGCACAATGTCTGTGTGTGTGTCCTGTTAATAAACACCAGTTCTCCACATGAGCGGCGCGGAGAGAGGCTGGATCATGACTGGGCTTGTCAGAAGTCAGAGGAGAATGTTCTGCTGGGGGAAGCGGCTCACACCTGGAGGACCTGGGTGATGAGGAGGCAGCTTAGCAGGAAATAGGACAATTCAACTGCATGACTCAAATAAATAGATTCTTGACTCATGCTGAATGTGAATTGTGGGTTAATTTACAGGGTGAAAGCTGTGAAGAGGAGTAGCTCTATTGTGGCCATATTGGCTGCAATTGCATGACAATGATAGAGTCAACAGTGTGTAGTGCCTTCACTCCATCAACTCTGTTGTGATGACTGTGTACATACCATGTCACCCATCACACCTTCAAAATCTGCTTCATGGGATGTTACTTCTGTTTTCCCTGTTAAACAACATACAGCAATATACTGCAGGAGCACTGAGCATGCAATGTCATGCAATTGGTGTTTTTCAATGACAAGAAGGTAGGGAATTTGCATAGATTCGAGGGAGGTATGTGATTTATGCTGCTAATGAAGGGTGTGTGAAGGATCCTCCCTCCTCAGCAGTGGCAACCACGAGAGGGAGACAAAGCTTTTCTCCAGATTGTCAGTGAAGACCTTTATATAGCTGTAGGCTACTTCTTATATTCCCTCATTGTTAGGAATAGTCTGAAGTGATTGAATAGCTCTGATTTAATAGATTACCATATATTTCAAATACTGCGTTTAAAATGAAGTACTTTGATCATAATATAACTACTGGTTATACATATCAATCTTGCATTATGCTCAAAGATCGCCTATTTGATTTATTGTTTCTCACCATATCCAACCTGACGAGGTCCAGCCCACGCGGCATCGTTTTGTCTTTCTAGAATGACACAAACCACGTCCATTTAAAACCTGGCAAATGCATTCCCGGAGATATTAACCAATCGGCTGAGGGGAGGGCGTAACTCTCCTTACTCCAGCAAAGCAGGAGTATGAAGTTTATGTTATCAGTGTACAGCTGCTGTGTGAGAGAATGGTGCACCTTAGTGTCCGTAGGTGCGTGATATTATCCGACTCTGGTTTTATATTCTTGCAACTTTAATGCTACTTAGTTTACGAGGGTGTATGCGCAAAGTTCAACGTGTCTCCTTTGCGGTTCCACAATACAAATGGCTTGGATTATTTTCCCGCATCTGCACGGGACTGGCGCTGCTTTTGTTCTGCTTGCGGTGATTCTGACAGGTGATGCAGTTTCGCAGGTTTTTGACAGCTATGGATTATCATACGCCTTGAGGTCTGAGCTGTCAGAGGACACGATATTGGTTGCCAATAATGGGATCCGCGTGCCTTTCGGGAGATCAGTTTTCATTGATCCCATCAACGATTTGGTTATACAGGTTCAGCCAGGCGATAGATGCAGCATAACGGTTCTGGACAATGATCCCTTATCTCAAAGGCCTGGACACCTGTCTCCGAAAAAGTTTCCGTGTGAATTCGGCCCCAACGACGTGAAGTATTCTCACTTTGGCTCCAGGAGTCCTCCGAGGGATAGAGTGCGATTACAACTCAGGTATGACACCCAAACGGATACGATTATAATACCTTTTATGATGGAGGTGGAAGTCATTTTCACACAGCTGGAAGTGCTTACCAAAAACATGCCACTTACTGTCGAGAAACTGCTTGGCACGAGTAACCCCATCGATAGAAGAATTTTAGAATTCACCTATGATAAAAGTGCAGCACAATGCAAAATAGGCTCTCTCTCCAGTGGCAGCGTGCTCCCCAGGTACGGGAAACTTGTGGATGAGGACAGCCTTGGAACAATGTTGGACTGTGATGAATTTATTAAAATGAACATCCGTTATCAACATACTTTTGCTTTGAAGTCACCAAACAGAGATTACATTCCAATGCTTGTGGAGTTACATGATAAGGAAGGCAATTTGCTAAAGCAGGAATTTTTCCAAATTTTGGTAAGGATTAAAGAGGGAGAGGATAACAGTGCTCCTAAACCCAGCTTTGTTGCAATGATGATGATGGAAGTAGACCAATTTGTAATGACAGCAATAACTATGGATTTTCTGGCTGCAGAGGATGTAGAGTCTAATTCTGATGAATTAATTTTTAACATCACTTCCACCCTGTCCTTTGAGGAGGGCTACATAGTGAGCACCGATGATAGGAATTTACCAATAACCTCATTTTACCAAGGAGACCTCAAAGACTTGAAAATTGCCTATAAACCCCCTGCTGTGGATTCAGACACTGAGCGGATTTTCCAGATTGAGTTTGAGGTTGTGGACACAGAGGGGGCTGTGTCAGACCCTTTTGCTTTCATGATTGTTGTTAAGCCTATGAACACGTTGGCCCCTGTGGTGACTAGGAATACTGGCCAGTTACTGTATGAGGGTCAATCCAGGCCTCTGTCCAGTTCACAGAGTCTACAAATCAGTGATGAGGACGGTTTGGACAAAGTCAAAATCACTGTTATTGATGGGCTGAGGCATGGAGAATTGAGTGTTCTTGGCTTGAGGAGGAAATTCTTCACCCCGGCTGACCTTGATGCTGGATTGGTCATTTATCAACATGATGGCAGTGACACATACAGTGATAATATAATTTTCAGAATGACAGATGGCAAAAATGAGGTTGAGTTTCTGTTTCCCATCACTGTCGTGCCTACTGATGACGAGCCTCCCATAATCAATGCCAACACTGGGTTGGTTTTATTTAAAAACCAAATGATGCCAATCTCCTCACTCATGCTCAGTGCAGCAGACATTGACTCAGAAGATTCTTCAATAAAATTCACAATAGAGCCTCCCTTTTCCACGATTGGACAGGTGATGCTGCGTCAGTCTGAGGCCCCAGAGGACCCATCAGACTGGAAGTTTAATACAGAGGATGAATTGTATGAGAAAGTAATAAGTGAATGGCTGCAGCAGGATATTACCGATGGAAAACTGTTTTACAAGCACATTGGGCCTCACAGTGCTAGCACAGTTATGGATCAGTTTGTGTTTAGAGTTCAAGATGACAATGACCCACCAAACCAATCTGGAGACAGCTCATTTATTATCAAAATTCTCCCCGTTGACGACGTCGCACCTGAACTGTACCCCGGCACCACTCTGCAAATGACTGTGCACGAGTATCAGCTTACTTACTTCAGAAAGAAATTCCTCCGTTACACTGACCTGGACTCAGAGGATCGGGATCTCAGATACACAGTCATCCAGCCACCGACGGATACTGATGAGAATAGTCCTGTTGTATTGGGAACTTTGGTATTAACTGAAAATCCGAACACTGTAGTCACAATTTTCACTCAGGCACAAATTAACCACCATAAAATAGCTTACAAACCGCCTGATTTAGAACTTGGAATCACCAGTCATGTTTTGCAGTTTCGGTATACTGTGGAGGATGTTTCTGGAAATGTTGTAGAAGACGTTTTCACTATATTTTTAAAGCCTGTAGACAACAATCCCCCTCAAATAACCAACTCTGGATTTACTGTGCTTGAACGCGGCACACATATCATTACTAGTGCTGAGCTGGACACCTCAGACACAGACACAGACAGCAAACAGATATCTTTCACTATTACTCAGCCTCCATTGCACGGCCAGATTCAGTTCACATTCACTGATATGACAAAAGGGGACACTTTCAGCCTAGAGGATATTGGAAATGACAGGATTTCATACATCCATAATGGAGATGAATCAACAGTTGATTCAATACAAATAGATGTCAGTGATGGTGTCCACATTGTCCCAATTACTATAAGGATTATTGTGAAGCCGATTGATGATGAAACTCCAACTATCAATCTCCCAGCTGGCACACTTGGTTCTTACATAGATGTACTGGAAAATGGAGCAACGGAAATCACAAGTAATGTAATTCAGGGACGAGATGAGGACACGGATGACCTCCGCTTGACCTTCATTGTGGAAGACCCACCATCATTAGGTGAAATTCTGGTGAAAGGCGTACCCTTTGGCACATTCACCCAATCTGATATTATTAACGGCTTTGTGGTCTATGCTCATACCAGTGGGGAGATAGGCTTGACCACAAGGGAGGACATTTTTAATCTCACTTTGACGGACATGTCTGATGAGTGGACTGTAGGAGGAAATAAGATCACCGGTGTCAGAGTGCATGTAACTATTCTTCCCCTGGACAGCCAAGCTCCAGAGGTCTTTGTGGGGCCAATGTTCACTGTTGTTGAGGGAGAGAAGAATGTCATTCAAGTTGTTCATATAAGCGCTGATGATGCAGACACCTCCAACGACGACCTCCTTTGTACAATCATTGTACAGACGACTTCAGGATATGTGGAAAATATCTCCCCTTCCCCAGGCTCAGAGAAATCCAGGTCTGGGACTGCAATCAGTGCTTTCACCATCAAGGACATCAGACAGAATCACATTTATTATGTTCAAAGCATTCACAAAGGAGTCGAGCCAGTGGAGGACAGGTTTACGTTCAGATGCTCTGATGGCATCAATTTCTCTGAAAGGCACTTTTTCCCCATCTCCATAATCCCCTCTAATGATGAAAAGCCCGAGGTTTACATGAGAGAGTTTGTAGTTATGGAGGGCATGAACATAGTCATTGATACTCCCATTCTGAATGGTGCTGATGCAGATCTTCCTTTGGATCAGTTAACATTCATTATTACCAAAACCCCCAAGCACGGATTTATTCTCAATCAGCTCACTACTGGAACCATCCCTGTCTCTAACTTCACCTTGGATCAGATCAGGGAGGCCTCTAGCATTGTGTATGAGCACGATGACTCAGAGAGCACAGAGGACAGCTTTGATATTGTGCTCACAGACGGAAAGTTCAGTGTAGAGAAAACTATAATAGTTATGATTATCCCTGTGGACGATGAGACCCCGAGGATGGCAATAAATGATGGCCTTGAAATTGAGATAGGGGATGTGAGAGTCATAAACAGCAATGTTTTAAAAGCTACCGATCTGGACTCAGAGGATGACATGCTAACTTATATTATTCGCTATGGGCCTGGCCAGGGATATTTACAGATGGCAACACCTTTTGGCACATTGCAAAATATCACAGTTGGAATGAATTTTACACAGAATGAAGTTGATCAGGGTTTAATTGTATACATCCATAATGGGCAAGAGGGGATTCGAGACCTCATCAAATTTGATGTGACGGATGGCATCAACCCTTTGATTGACAGATACTTTTATGTCACAGTGGGTGGCATTGACATGGTTTTCCCAGATGTTATCAGTAAAGGTGTATCCCTTAAAGAGGGTGGGATGGTTTCTCTGACAACAGACCTGCTTAGCACAAGTGACCTCAACAGCCCAGATGAACACTTGGTTTTTACAATCACCCGAGCTCCCATGAGAGGACACCTTGAGTGCACAGACACACCTGGGATGCCCATCTCGTCCTTTACACAGCTCCAGCTGGCTGGCAACAAAGTCTACTACATCCATACCTCTGACGATGAAGTGAAGATGGATAGCTTTGAATTTGAAGTGACTGATGGCTATAACCCTGTGTTCCGCACTTTTCGCATCTCCATCACTGATGTGGACAACAAAAAGCCTGTGGTGACAATACACGGCCTGGTGGTAACTGAGGGGGAGAACAAACTTATCACGCCTTTTGAGCTTACAGTGGAGGACAGAGACACCTTTGACCACTTGTTGAAGTTCACAGTCACTCAAATCCCAGTTCATGGTCGCCTGCTCTTTAACAACACCCGGCCTGTCACCTCTTTCACAAAGCAGGACCTGAATGAGAACAGGATCAGCTACAAGCATGATGGCACAGAGAGTGCAGAGGATAGTTTCTCCTTTACTGTAACTGATGGCACCCACACAGACTTCTTCATCTTCCCCGACTCAGTTTTTGAGACTCGAAAGCCCCAAATGATGAAGATAACAGTCCTCCCCGTGGATAATGGAGTACCGCAGATTGTGGTGAACAAGGGTGCCCCAACATTGCGGGTTCTGGAGACTGGTCACCTGGGGTTTGTGATCACTAGTAAGACCCTTAGAGCAGAGGACAGAGACAGCATCCAAAAATCTGTGACCTTTAGGATTACTGTCGCCCCAGAACACGGCTACCTGATCAACCTCGGCAAGGGAAATGCCACTATCTCCATCTTCACGCAAGGTAAGAGAGATGCATTTCAAAACAGTTTTGAAACATTGTGACAATCTGTTAGTTTTGTAACATACTGCAATAATTCACGTTCAAGACAGTTTTTAATTCACTAGGGCCCATTTTAAAACTCATTTTACATTTACTCACTCCGCTAAATGTACTCCACTGTGAAGCCTGAAAAATGCTGAGTTCAAACATAAGGTTTTTGTTTTCACTCAAGAGACTGCCTATTTACAGAGATGAAATATGCGTGTGCCTAAGGCTGAACAGATCTCACTAAAAGAGTGCATTTTTCAAACACTGCTTAATGTGTTTCACTTTGGGATAGAATTGATGGTGATTTGTACACTACCAGTCATATATTCTAACGTAGAAGGCAGGTGGTAGCCTGGCTCAAAGCCGACCACTGGTTTTGCAAACATGACTACAACAGTTAAATAAACCAGAGGGTTTTGTAAAGCTTGGTAAATGCTAAATATCAGGGAAACAGCATCAGTGTTTAGTTCAATATCCATTTAATCCTTGCTTTTATTTACCAAGTCACTGTGAGACGCTTTCCCCACGAGGCCTGTTCAATATCTCAATAGTTATCACTAGAATAAACAGACAGTAAATAAAAGGCACTCTCTATTGGGCATTTTGAAATCCTGGCTATGCATTTTAATCCATCGTTCCTTTTAGGGGGAAATATTTGTATATCAAATATTAAAGACATTGTGTTAACTTCACAATCTTCCAGATCCAGAGCAAAAAATAACCATATCTATCACAACGATGGCAAACCGGCTGCTGTGACTTCTCTCCAATAATCAAACTACATTTTATGTTCTGTGTCATAGATATAAAGCCTGTGTTAACAAGCAGTTTCTCCATCCCGACACTATGCAGTGGGCACATTTCCTCATATAGCCTCAGCCTGCTTATAGCAGGGCTCACGAGTATTAATTGGCAAATAGTCTGTCAGGAACATATTGGACATATTTTCCCACTTGCCATTTCAGCCAATTAACTAATGTGAACCTTTTTCAGCAGAAGCATGGATATTTATGCAAATGTTTCCCTTTTTCAGCTGAAATTAACGACATGAACATATGCTATGTTCTGAGAGATGGTGACAATGCTACAAATGACATCTTCTATTTCTCCATCGAAGACAGCGGTAAGTTACATATCCCTAACATGTCCTCTTGCAATTATATTCTGAAAAGCTCACAGAGATGCTGACTTTTGAGGCTGTAATATAGATTTTTTTACTCACTGTCTCATGTTTAACTTTAAGAAACATTTTTTTTATAAGGGAAAGATAAAGATCAAAGGGAAAGATACAGATAAAGGCTTGAGTATGCAAAATGACTAAGCAAAATATGTGTGCACAGTAGGTAGAAATCGCCAAACAACAATTTCACAGTGCCCTAAAATGATGAAAGCAAAATGTAATATTTATATATAACTTTGTGTATGTCAAGCTTTGATGATTTCCACTCATCTAATGACTTGGCCAAACAAATCTGAATGCCAGAGCTTCCATGCTTGTTTACTTTTAATCCGAACGTTAGTTTGACTGTGCAAACAAACTTTGTACCTTAGGTAGCTCAGTTTTATACCACTTTACCCATGATCACCCATGATTTCCATGCAAGGACCTCCTCTTTTGGAAATTAAGGAATGATTTATCAAGTCAATAATTAGTAAAACAATTAGCAAAGACCTTCCTTCCACTGTAGATATGTAATCAGTGAATGGTTTGAGGCAATCATGCCGGTGTTGCCGATTAGAAGCAGTGTGCCTGACAGTGTGTCCTTTCTGCTACCCTTCAGCTGTGATGAGTGAGCACAAAGCACCTCTCTAATAGGGGCCCTCTTTTCCCACAAGCACCTTGGTGGGCCCCCGTTCACATTTTGTCATCTCTCCACTCGGGACTAATCTATGGCTTCAGTTGAATAATAGACAGGTTAACATCAATGCCAACAGGTAGATGGCATGCTAATGAGTGATGACTAAAATGCAGAGGACAACTCCTTATCAGGAGGTGATACTAAATGGAAGTGCTTCACCTGAGCTGCTGGCAAAAGCCAAGCCCATGCAGAGCTCTTTTGTTGTAGTGCGAGGTTCAGTTGGTCCCTTTATTATTGTCTCAATCGGGGTATTTGTCATGGATCTCTCCGGACTTCCCTCCCTCTGTCACATTCTTTCTCTTTCTAGCTTTCTCTATGCTTGATGACATACTTGCATCCCATACTGATAGTTTATCTTTCAAACCTGGCAATTAAAAGGTAATATATGAGATTGAGTTCTGGGAAATGGCAGTTTAATTGAAAAAAAGATATGTCTTCTTTTGTTCTCGGTCATGTCCTGAAACAAAACATGACATTGCAACGGTCGGACACATCACATATCTTTAAAATGTTATTCTATGGCATGGGTGTTGTGCTTTACAGTGGCATCTAAATGGCTTGACAAATTGATAAAGAGTTATGTTGGAAGACCTTCCATAAGGGATTCAACACATACTGCACTGCAGCTCGTGAGGCAGTCAGTGACATTTTTTCTTTTTAATAAGATTTAAGCTGTGCTGGTGGCTGCCCTAAATCCCCAGACAGAGCCTCCAGCTCTTTGAACAGTCGTGTAGGAGAGGAGCTGAACGGTGTACACCGGCACACAGCTGCAGTATGTCATGTTCAGCAGGGGAAAACATTCCCCTCCTCACATCAAGTTCATTGGGAAATTTACCAACTGCACTTTGCAAACATGTTTGGGGTGAGAAGTTACTTTTCATGTCGCAGCTGCTCAGTGGGAATCCAGAAGCTTTGACTAACAGCTGTGATGAACCATGAATGTGCGCACAGTTCTCAGTATATATAAAGGACTGCTAATTAATATTTGTAAATGAAAGTTTCAGCCAAAGTATGTAGTTTTAGGGTGGTAGTCATTGTGTAAAAAGTACATTTATACAACACCAATAGAAAGGACTGAACATAAGGTTGTAACTAGTTATTATTCTGTTTATAAACAGCGTAACTTAAGTAGCTGGAAAATGTCCTATTAAGCACAATCATTTTCAGTTTATCCTCACCTCTTCCCCAAATAAAATGCAACTGGCTCTCGTTACAGGGTAGGACACTAATTTACTAATGAATAGTGCCAAGCCATTCATCAGGCTCAATTGAAATATTATACCAGTGGCTGCTTTAGCTGTTGGAGCTGAGATCATAGTTTCTGTGATAGATGGATTCTGGGCTCTCTTAAATTGACTTCCTTTTGGCAGTGATGTATCTGCTGCTTGATGTGTCATTTAAACTTGGAGTGTTCAGAGCCAAAATGACAATCTACTGTACGTTGGTCTAGCCAAACTCCTCTTCACTTTTGGCATAGTAAATATTTGGTGCAAACATCACACAACAAAACACCTTTCACTTTAAATATTTGTGATTTATGATAAATAGAAGTGACTAAAAAGGATGATAAACTCTACTTACATTTCTTGTTGAGTGATATAAATTATGTTTTTAAATCAAGAGTAAAAGTTGCTGTTTCACTTTATTAACTTGCCTTGGCAAATAAGTCACTTATTTGCTGTATTTTGTGGGCCTTAAGCCCTCCCCTTGTCTCCTAAGCATTTGGGTGCATTCAGGTGAGCTTACCTGAGCACACACAAGCCCCGGCATTCCCAGTCAATTGTTTGTGAAGCAGAAGCCCTGTCTACCTCCCACCAGTCAGTCAGCATCAGGGATGTTCCTACTGACAGACACACTGCTGTGGCCTTTGTTTTTCATTCCAGGCACTCACTACCGTCTCATTTTTTCTTCTTCTACTGAGCTACAAAGAGGCGGCAAAAGAACATTGATTGTTCAGTCCATTAATGTGCTACTTCTGAAGGTCAAACTCCCCAGCTTTGTTCAAAGTTTCCTTGTGTTTCTCAAAGAAATACGATTTAAAGATAGATCGGTAAATTGCCTTGCAATGTTTTGCTCACATGGCAGCCCCTGCAAGTTTGCAGCGCCCTCCTAAACATGCCTGTTTTGTTTGTTATTTCTGCCTCGTGAGTACCTCAACCTTATAAATCCTCTGAACCGTTACAGCCTGCAGTTTCATCTGCCAAGTTGATCTTATACGTCTTCCATGTTATCGGTGTATAATCGCTTGTGACAGTGAGTGCATACTTGAATCCATCTCCCTTGACTCTCCTCCTGTGTAATCCCAGGTTAGGCAGGATTATCTTCCTCCCCATAGCGTGCTAGCAAAACAAAAGTAAGGGGGAACATGAACTCACATGCAGTTGTGAGGGTAATATAGACTTTGTGTATGCTATAATATTCGCACCACAGTGATGACACTGCAGTTTATCTCTGTGTTTCTATCCTGTTATTAATGGAAATGTCTCCCCTACACTTTTCTTTGGGGGTTATAACTTTTTGCTGTCCTTGGAACCAATAGTGTGTGAATTATATGCGTAAGATTCAACAAATTACATAGTTGGACGAGTTATTTCGTTTTAAAAGGATTTTTGGGGCGTTTTTTCTCACAGTCCATCTGCGCTGTAACTCATAAAATGTTAGGTAGTCATTTTATTGTTATGGAAAAAATTGTTTGTGATAAAAATCCTGGAAGTTTATTAAAGGAAGAATTTCTCGGAAATAGCTGCTTTACATGGAGTATTTAGCTGAATTGTTTTCAGTGAAGAGACATTTGCATGCCCTTATGTCCTCAGTCGCTATCTTGTTTGAGTTTTTTATGTCCAGTGTATATTTGAGTTAAATGTGAAATGTTTATTACCCAGCTCCAGTCTTTATTTTCAACACAACCCAAAGAGTTGCACATGTTTGATGTGTTTGAAGAAGTAAAAGCATATCTGCTGCATCAAATAAGTGAATTACCTCAGTCATTAGGTCGGTTTTCTCTTTTTATTATTAAGTATGCAATACATTAGCCAATGGAAGGGTTTTCTGTCTCTTCCCTGGGACAAGAGTGCTGTTTACTGCTTAATAGTCAGGAAAACACATTTTACTTTTTGGGATTTGCCAGAACAGAATAAAAGAGAACCCTTAATGTAATAATGATACATACTGATTTACTGTAGTGGAGCAACAACCTCTTGTGTTGTTAAGGGATTGTATATAGGAAGTGGGTGATACTATAGTTGTTTTAGACCCTTTGACATGATGTGCCTTATCTTCTCTCTGGGAAAGGGAAGCCCTGCTACATTAGCCCCTTTCACTGTGATAATTTGCTGCTAAATGCAGTGTGTGGAGCCAAGGTTAACAAAGAAAAAGGCAAATTCCCAAAAGTTTAGAAACCCGGCCCAGGCATGTTCCCTGGATGATGACATGTGTCGTCATACCTGCCTCAGGATATTAGTCTAGCAGGAAAGCGGTTGTTCAAGCAATGAGTGTATAGAAAATACCTATTTTGTGGAAAAAGCTTGTAGGCTGAAGTTTGTTGTCGCCTTGTCGGGTTTGTGATTTGACACCCAGGAGTCTTATCTACTTCAGGAAACCTATGAAGACATATGCAAAATACAAAGAGCTATTTTCATATCTCTTCAAATCTTCAATGAAAGCAAATATAAAATCCCTGTCTCTGTGTGAGCAGTCCATTTGTATTGCATTTAATTGTGACTGTCACATGTCGAGCAATTTAATAAGACTGTGTTTTCACAAAACTGATATTGCCAGAAAACAGCAGGAACTCTGAAAGTCTGTCAAGCCATAATCACTGCTGTGACATCTTTTTTTTCCCAGTAACAGAGTTTCTGTTCAATTTCACAAAATCACTCTAGAAAATGTGTTTTTGGCCCCTGAATCCCAGCAGTGGGCCTGAGATCTTCCTCTCAGCCCTGCGGCACCATAACTCTCTAGGAGCTGGGCTGAGGCTGTAGTGTCACATCACTCTCTGTCTTAGCCTGGGTTTCACTGGAGCCCAAATGAGGGGTACTGTAGATCTCCTTTGTAGGCACTTTTTATGTACACGCATTCCTACACACGCACACCATTGCCTACACAAATCAGCCCCCATTTATCTATCTCGGGACCAGCTGCCTGATCCCATAATCAGAGATGAAGCTGGCACCGCTCAAATGTTGCATCAAGATGCTTGGTATCAGCTACAGTTTAATTGATAACTGCTTTATCTTTGATTTCAAGCTGTTGTCTTTCTTGATTA